ACACGGTGGTGTGGTTGAATCGGGCTCAGCAAGGACCTACAGAACTCACAACCAAATACATGGAATTTCCTATGGGAACATTCATACTTGTTAGACAGTGATTGCTAACAATGATTAGGATCTGGAATGCAAAGTCTGGAAGTGGGGTGGAGGTGGGTTCAATTGAGGCTTTCAAGAGGGGCACTGGATGATTGCTTAAATGGAAGCAATGTGCACAGTTCTGGGGAAAAGGCAGGACAATGGCAGTGATGTTTATTTGGAGAGCCCGTGCAGAGGTGATGGGCCAAATAGCCCCCTTCCGCACTGTAATATTGTTGTGATTCTATACAGGGTTTTTTAGCTCTGATATACAACAGGGCAGCCTCTGTGTCTTAGCCAGCTTTGAAGTGCAGAAGGAGTAGCAGGCAGTTTCTAACGGTGGGGAGAGTAAATGAATCAGTCAGAGAGAGGGGTGGACATGTCACTGGATGGCTCAGTACTCTGTCAACATCAGAGGGTGCAGCACGCACCAGCAGCTTACACAGCAAACACACTGCACGTGTTTCCAGTTACTGGGCAATGGTCTACCACCAAGATCAAGCACAACCAGTTCAGGGATTGCTGGGACATCAGTTGTGGGCGGGTAGGAATGGGCTCTGATCAGTCAGGGCTGTCCTACCGAGTCAGTCCAGAGGGTGGACCACAGTCAGTTTTCAGGGTTGGTCAGTAATTGTCCGGGGACGGTTCCATGGCTTCAGGGAAAGTGGGCAACAGAAGTTTGGGGGATGGGTTTCATTGGATTGAGTTGCAGACAGAATGGTCACTGTGGTAGAGTGCAATTGGAGATGGTAGGGTGGCACCTCATAGTGAACTCAAAAGTAGTGTTACTCTGGATAGAAAAGCTGTAGGCCCCAACAAGGGCATGGAAACTTCCAGAGAGAAAGGGTCGAGGTATAAAATGGGCACATTAATAATAGTGATGGAGAAAGATTCATCAAAATGGAATGGGGGCTGAAGGGTTATCAGGTCCATGGAGACAACAATATGAAATGGAAAGTACGAAAGAGAACCTGAGAATCACAGATGGAGCAGGAACACAAACAAACTTTGAACCTTGCTATATCAGAGTCAAATTCAACTGCACAATAAGTTCACTAAATGGCTGGGACAACATGCAAAGGGGAAGAGGCAGGATACTTGTTTTTTGACAGGGGTAGAATTTGAACTAATGCCACAGGCAATTAAAACCATTCCAATTCCTCACCTCAGAGTTGTACCAGTTGCTAGACGAGGACTGGCACTCACGAGGATTGGGTGGCCATGCCATCCAAAGGCTGTCAAGGCCACAGCTGCCCTTACAATTTTATGCCAGCTCATTTCAGGAAACTACTGGAGACCTGTATGGAATCTGCTAACTCTCCACTCAGATTTACATCCATCTGTAACCCTGATGAGATTTTTACCAGAGCTCACCTTTTCTTAACCTTCAACCTTGATGAAGAAAGTTAAGCAGCTTGGTCATTGAGTTCTTCACCATCAGGGTACAATCAATTGTACCAACATTGCTTTGCGAGTGCCCTTTCACCAACCACTGGCGACTGTGAACAGGAAAGGATTCCATTCCCATTAATGTTCAACACATTGCACCCATCAAAGACACATTTTAGAGGTATCCTGGGAGCTGCCATGACTCACACATTATCTAAGTGGAGAAAAACTTTGGTGCAGAGGGATCTGGGTGTCCTCGTGCATGAATCACAGAAAACTAGTTTGCAGGGACAGCAGATAATCAGGAAGGCAGATGGAATTTCAGCATTTATTGCTGAAGGAATAGAGTTTAAAAGTTGGGAAATGTTGCCGCAACTATACAAGGCATTAGTGAGACCACACCTGGAGTATTGCGTACAGATTTGGTCTCCTTACTCGAGGAGAGATGTAGTTGGTTTGGAAGCAGTTCAAAGGAAGTTCACTAGACTGATGATAGAAGTGAGAGGTCTGTCTTATGAAGAGATATTGAGCAGTTTAGGCCTACACTCTCTGGAGTTCAGCAGACAGGGAGGAGATCAAATTGAGGTCTCTCATATGTTAAAGGGGATTGTCAAAGTAAACGTGGAGCAGATGTTTCCTCATGTGGGACAAGTTGCATGATTTAGGATGAGGGGTAGGAGATTTAAAATAGAGATGAGGAGAAATTACTTCTCTCAAATGATTGAGAATCTGTGGAATTTACTACTCCACAGTTTGATGGATGCTGGGTCATTAAATAAATTTAAGGGGGAGGTAGACATGTTTTTAACTAGTGATGAGCTGAAGGGTTACAGAGAGCAGCAGAAAAGTGAAATTGATGCTGAGATGAGATCAGCCGTGATTGTATTGAATGCAGAGCAGGCTCAAGGAGCTAAATAGCCTAATCCTGCCCCTAATTCTTGTGTATGTACTGGAGCACTTGCAGGTTCCTGTCTTTTTGCACAGTCTTTGGCCCATATAGGGACAGCTGCTGGGACACAAGGGCTACCCCCCTCCAAATCTGGCTATGACACCTGTTGGAAATACATAGACAGACACGAGACTAAGATATTCACCTCACAGATGGTGAAAAAATGAGTGCAAGCTGGTTGCTGGCACATTCCGTGGATGTTGCCTTTAGCCTCAGTGTCCTCCAAATTAACATGCAATATCTTGGACTGCATTAGATCATAGAATCCCTACAGTGTGGAAGCAGGCTATTCGACATATCAAGTCCACACCAACCCTCCAAAGAGCCACCCCCTACCCGAGACACTATGGGTAATATAGCAATATAGCATAGCCAATCCACAATCTTTGGACTGTGGGAGGAAACCCATGCAGACACGGGAAGAATGTGCAAACCCCACGCTGACAGTCACCCAAGGCTGGAATCAAACCCAGGTCCCTGGCGCTGTGAGGCAGCAGTGCTAACCACTGAGCCACCGTGGTGCCCCAGTATGAAGTTTCAGGTTTCGTGTTAAACCTTCAGGCTATTTGCTTGTGAGAGCTAAGCAATGCCTGGTGATTGCAAAGCATCTCTGGGATGTATGAACTGGCTCCTTATCTCTCACATGGGTATAAATTCACCAGCTCCTGTCAGAGACAGTGTAACAGTACAAGTGAAAACCTTTTGACAAAAGTGATAAGAAAATTTATTTTCTTAATTGTTTCAGCCTCTTGCCTGTCTTGCTTGAACTTCTTGTCTGTCTATTTTATGTACACTGCTTTCCTTAATCCCACATTTTTCTTTCATCTTCATTCATGGGCTCTCCATTTTTACACCATTGTTTTACAATATTGTCATTGTTTTATTCACATTGGTATTTCTTCAGGTCTAATCTCACTCACATTCTGACTCCTACAGTATTTCAGCATCCTACCTAATCTAATCTTCTTTCTCCACTCACTCATCATATCACTTTATATCTCATTCATTTGAGGCCTGTCCTTCTGCTCACTCCATATTCCTCTCAATATCCCTCAATCAAATTCCACTCTCTTACCGATTCTCCAAACCATTTAACCATTCCCAGTCGAATTCCACTCTTCTGCTTACTCCTTTTGGATTTGATTTGATTTGATTATTGTCACATGTACCAGGATACAGTGAAAAGAATTGTTTTGCGTGCTAACCAGACAAATCATATCTTACATAAGTATGTCAGGGTAATAGGACAGAATGCAGAATACAATGCTACAGCTACAGAGAAGGTGCAGCGAAAGATCAACTCGAGTATATGAGAGGTCCATTCATAAGTCTGATAACCGCAGTGAAGAAGCTGTTCTTGAATCTGTTGGTATGTATTTTCAAACTTTTGTGTCTTCTGCTTGATTGAAGAGGGTGGAAGAGAGTGTTCTCTGGGCTGATTATGTTGGCTGTTTTCCCAAGGCAGCAGGAAGTATAGATGAGGTCAATGGGAAGAGCATAAGAAATTGGAGCAGGAGTAGGCCATTCAGCCCCTCAAGCTTGCTCCACCTATCAATGAGGTTTTGGCTGATCTGATGCCAATCTGAAATTGTCTTTCCTGCCTGTTCCTCATAAACCCTGTTTCCCTGTAAGTTCAAAATTCTGTCTATCTCAACCTTGAATATATTCAATATCTCAACCTCCGCAGCTCAGTGGTGGAAAATCCCTATGATTCATGACCTTATAAAATTCCTCCTTATCTCTGCCCACTAGTTCTGAACTCCCTAGAAGGAGCCTATCATCAACATTAACCCTGTCAATCCCCCTCAGAATCTTATATGTTCCAATAAAATCACCTCTGATCCCTCGAAACCCACAGGTCAACCTACGCAACCTCTTCTTATGAGTCAAATGTTTAATCTCAGGAATTAGCCAAGTGAACCTTCTCTGAACCACTTCCAATGCAAGTCTATCCCTTCTTCAACTAGGAGTGCAAACTGTGCTCAGTACTCTTGACGTGGCTTCACCAGCACCTTGTACAGGAACAGCAAGACTTCTCTCCATTCCACTTGCCTTCGGCATAACTTCTTAACTTGTGGTTCACGTACGAGGACACTGAGAGCCCTTTGGACCACAGCACTCTCCAGTTTCTCTACAGTTAATGTACTGCTTTTCTATTCTACATACCAAACCTTACCATTTGGCACATTATACTCCTGCCAAATTTTTCATCTGCGGACAATACAACTATCATCCTTTGCAAAAATGTCCTGCTTTCCTACCTGTCTCTATTTATTTCCTTTACATCCACGGTCTCTAATGGGTACCAGCTCAGCCTACACACCAGACTTCACCTTCAGCTCAATTGTCAAAATGTAGAATCACATCAAACTTGCAGAAGTGAAGCTTATATTCCATTTGCATGGAGTAATACACTTATCACCATAGCTCTCTCCATTCATCTTGTTATTCATTTCTTTTGCCCAGCCTCCAGCTGGGCCGTGCTTTGTGTCTCTACTTGCTTTATACAATGAGCAGCGTTTACAAATTGTCCAGAATGGTGTTCAGCCAACAATATCTGTCCCCGAAACAACACTTCACTTACCGACGTAGAAAGACGTGGGGCAATGGTCGCCACTGAAAATGGTGGTGGTCTCAGAGTCAAAGCGAAGCCACAGGCCGAGCGAGAGGACTGCAGTCCCAGACAGCTGGCAAATAAAAGGACATTCACAAGTTAATGAAGACCAATTAGAGTAATGACAGGACTAAGTTAATTGACAGCAACAGTTTGAGGGATTGGCAGCAAAGGGAAGTGACAGTAACGAGGAGTGAGTGTACTGAGGGGCAACAGTAATGAGGATCGACTATAATGGGGAGTAAGTGTAATGGGGAGTGAGAGTAGGGAGCAGTGACAGTAATGGGGAGTAAGAGTAATGAAGGGAGGAGTGAGAGTAACAGGGAGTGAGAACAATGAGGAGTGACAGTAATGAGCAGTGACAGCAATGAGTGAGTGAGAGTAACAAGGAGTAAGTAAGTGAGAGTAACAGAGAGGAACGGGGAGTAAGTAATGACGAGTGACAATAATAAGGAGGGACTGGAATAAGACGAAACTAGAATGAGGAGTTACTGGAATAGTGGAGTCCATATGGGGAATAACCTTAAGGAACAGTGAATGTACAGTTAAAACTGTAACACCAAAAACCTATTGTAATGAGTGACAGTCCAGGCCAGAGCCTAACTTCCGCACCTTTCCTGCTGGTATCTGTTCAGATTCTGCTCTTGGTCCCTGTCCTATTTCAAACATTTGTTTGATACCAGGCTCATATTACTCCTGTCTCGCCATGCTGTTTAGCACAGAAACAAAGCTCAGAAGTTTGGGTGGCACAGTGTTACTGTTGGTGCAGGTGGGGAGGTATCGCGAGTGAATGAGTAGGTAGCACAGAGGGCATGCAGGGTTAGTGGTGTCAGGTGTTAGGATAAGTGACAGTGAGTGAGGGAAGATATTGCAGTTAACAGTGGAAGTGGTAGAGCATGAGGCTCAGTGGACAGCAGGTGCAGTAATAGAGAGAGAGTGGGTGGAATCGGAAAAAGGATGGGTAGCTCTTACATTGGCAGGTGGAGACAGGTCCATTGACCTTCTTCCTACAGTGCTACGCATTCCTTCAGACATCTGAAACTTTACTAAACTAGGTGACAACCACAGACCAAGCTGGGATGCTCTGGTGTAATGGCCTTCACCACTGGTCCTGGGAAAAGAGGAATTCCCACTTCTTCACCACCGTGTACAGCAGGAGCTGCACATGCAGGGCACCAAGTTCCCCATCTGCCATGCCTGAGGAAAATGTCAGGAATCAGGCTGGGCATCTGTAGATTGACAGTACCTGCCCGAGTGTACAATGTCTTTTAAAAGACGATGCAGGTGCAAGAAATGCTGGTGAATTCCGGGATATCTGCTGAGCTGCAAGTGGGGACAAAGGGTCCTTTTTCAGGTTGGCAACATGTGACCAGTGGAGTTTCACATGGATTAGTGCTGGCACCATAACTGTTTATAACATACATTAATGACTTGGAGGAAGGAAGCAAATGCACCGTAGCCGAATTTTGCAGTCAGCACAAAAATAGGTGGAAAGGCAAATTGCAAGAGGGATGCAAAGTTTACTGAGAGATATTAATAGGTTAAGTAAGTGGGCAAAAAGTTGGCAAATGGATTATAATGTGAGAAAATGAGAAGTAGTTCATTTTGGAAGGAAGAACAAAGAACAAATGGAGAATAGCTGAAGAAAGCTGCAACACAGAGGGACTTGACAAACTTGTGTAGAGAAAGTTAGCACACGGGTGCAACAGGGAATCAGGAAGGCGAATGGAATACTGATCCTTATTTTCAGGGGTTTGGAGTATGAGAGTAGGGAAGTCTTACTGGAACTATACAAGGTGCTGGTGAGATCACAACTGAAGTACTGTGAGCAGTTTTGGTCCCTTATTTAAGGGAGGTTGTAATTTCATTGGAGGTAGTTCAGAGATCCCCAGTATGGAAGGATTGTCTTATGAGCAAAGGTTAAACAAGTTGGGACTCTACTCATAGGAATTTAGAAGAATGAGAGATAATCTCATTGAAATCTCTAGTTAGACCACACTTGGAATGTTGTGTTCAGTTCTGGTCACCGCATTATAGGAAAGATGTGGAAGCTTTAAAGAGGGTGCAGAGGAGATTTACCAGGATGCTGCCTGGACTGGAGGGCAGATCTTATGAGGAAAGGTTGAGGGAGCTAGGGCTTTTTTCATTGGAGCGAAGAAGGATGACAGGTGACTTGATAGAGGTGTACAAGACGATGAGGCATAGATAGAGTAGATAGTCAGAGACATTTTCCCAGGGTGGAAATGACTATTACGAGGGGGCATAATTTTAAGGTGATTGGAGGAAGGTATAGGGGACATGTCAGAGGTAGGTTCTTCACACAGAGAGTGGTGGGCGTGTGGAATGCGCTGCCGGCAGTGGTAGTGGAGTCAGATACTTTAGAGACTTTTAAGCGACTCTTAGCTAGGGACATGGAGGATAGTAAAATGTAGGGTATGCAGGGTAGATTGATCTTAGTAGGATAATAAGTCGGTACAACATCGTGGGCCAAAGGGCCTGTACTGTGCTGTACTATTCTATGTTCTATGATACATTTAAGATTCTTAAGGAGCTCAACAGGGCAATTGCTGAGAGCATATTTCCCCTCATGGGAGAGTCCAGGACCGGACGACATAGTCTCAGAAAAAAGGGGCACCAATTTAATTCTGAGACAAAGAGGAATTTCTTCTCTCGAGAGGGTTGCGAGTCTTTGGAGCTCCTTACCAGAGGTAGACATGGGGAATCAACTGTTACAGAGAAAACACAGGCAAGTGGACACAAGGAATGTCGGATCAGACATGATCCTATTGAATGGAGCTAAATAGCCTACCCCTGTTACTATTTCTCAAGTGTTATGGTCTTATTAACACCCGGTTCCAGTGGATGGGAGCTGGGTGCAGCAGATCATCATGGACTGTGAAGTATTTGTCAGTCGTGATGCTGAAATCTGGATTGCATAGTGGGGAAGAAGCCTCTATGTGTTGTTCCCCTAATGGGCAATGACAAGATTCAGGTCTCCAGTGGTACTGGGGACAGAGGAGCACTGACTTAGAGATGGTGTTCAGGTGGGGTATAGCTGAGGGCAAGTAAAATGTGCTGCCTAGAGGTTACACCGCGAGTAGGGTGAGAGAATGGGGTTGTATATGAGGCAGTGTCTCCCATGCCTGCTCTGTGCTGTGGGCAGCATGTTTTTGTGGCTGCTGCACCCTGATGTTGCTGGAGATGGACAATGCCAGATTGTCAATGCTTGTCCATATGAACAGCAGCTTTTCAAAAGTGGCACAGGTACAAGGGAGGCTGGTCTTTCTGTAGATATCTGTTCACTAATGTCCTTTAGTGAAGGAAATCTGCTGTCTTCACCTGTACTAAGTCACGCATGTAACTCCAGACCCACTGCACAGTGCTGGAATCTTAACTGTCTAGAAAACAACCGTTCTGGGGTCATTAGGGATTGGCTATAATGTTGGCTCAGCTTGTGATGCCCACATCCAATGAAAGAATTATTTTGCTTATTTTGTTTAATTACTCTTTATATAAAGTTTGTTTTTGTTACAAAACCTGAAATATTGTGGTGTAATTCTGGCTCATTGCTTGGTGCTCTAATTTCTTCTTTGAACTTTAACAATCCACCATGGGATCATAACAATAGAGTTTTCTGATGCCCATTCTAATGTGGCTCTCCAGACCAACTGCAGAGCTCATGGGTGTGAGGCTGGAAAATCACAGCAGGTTAGACAGCATCCATGGAGCAGGAAAGTCACTCTTTCAGCCCAAAACATTGACTTTCCTGCTCCGCGGATGCTGTCTGACCTACTGTGATTTTCCAGCATCCCACCGATTGACTCCGGCTTCCAGCATCTGCAGTCCTTGTTGGCTCCAACTGCAGAGCTCAATGTTTTTTGAAGTGAGCCAAAATGAGTTTGGGACTGCGCAATGTTTCTAACTTTGTCTTTTGACCTTAGCTGCATGGAATCTTCACAGTTTGTGGGAAGAAACACACTGAGCGTTCCACACGCCAAACTTCCTGAGGTTCACCTTTTAGAAATCTTCCTCTTAATCGCAGTCTATCTTGTGGGCAGTGTCCATGTTTGAGTTGTGACACATGACTACTTTAGGATTTTATTGATTGTTATCTGTACTACATGGGCACTCCAGCGGAGCTGGAATGAGATAAGTGCTTCAATTTTAGACATTTCCATTCTTTGAAGTATCTCAGTTTTGGTCACTTGTGTTTGATGATCCCCCGTGACATTCTGAATGCTTCTCATTTAGAACCAAATTAGTTGCCTAACAATGTGTCCAAGTCTCATAGGAATGTAGGAGGTGTGGGTATTAGCACAGTTTTATACGTGGCAAGCTTTGTTGTTAGTTTATCACCTCGATTCCTCCGCAGTGTATTGTGTAAACGGACAAATGCTGACTTACTCTGGTACATGGAGAAGCAGTGGGAGAGGAGTGGATCAAGAGAGTAGGAGTAGGAGAGGGAGAGGGAGCAGATCGAGCTCAGCCAGAGTAGGAGAGGGA